TGAATCACTTGCAGTGCGGAAGTAGAAAATTGTTGCTTCAAAGTGATTTGTATTTACCATTAAATATGATTTGCCATATGCAGAATTAAAAAAAAAATGATAAACTAAAAATATTTTAGTACTTTTAGTACTTTATTCTTCAGGTGTTTATAAATATGTTTTTTTGCTGTTGAAATATATAGAAAAATAGTTTTGCTCACTACTTGTATTTACTTAACCTGAAAGTTTTGAAGGATTTTTTTCTTTAAAAAGAAATTTATCTAAATTTTTCTTATCAGTCACACAATCTTTTAGTTAGGAACAAATGGTATACTTTTTATGTTTCTAGCTATTTTACATTTTAGGTTTCAAAATATTTTTTTTTCTTTTGCAACATTTCTTTTATTTCATTTATTTTAGCTTACTTTGCAACCAAGTGTAGTGCTGTTGGCCCAGCTCTCGCTTTTATATTTTTACCTTAGTTACACAGTTATCATTAAATAAATGTCGTCAAATCTGGGGCATGCCACATTTACGTACTATTTTTCCCCAACTTGAGTACAGTAATTGTGCAACAGCAGTGCAGTTTAGCAACGCCTCAGCACGACCACATGCAGCGGTGTATCTTTATACTTTGTTACATTAAGCATATGCGCTTGTCACATTTATTTCTATTTTTAGCTGCAGCAGATACTTAAAGTATATTTTTCATTTTCATAAAAAAATTTTTAATTTCTAAAAACTTCAACTCTCCCAAATCGCAATAAAGAAAAGTACATATTATTTATTGAATTTATGCTATCTTTACCTAGTTAAATGTAAAATGAAGTTGTGTTGCATTTGATATATTGCATTTTGCTTGTCAAATGTTTGATATTTATTTAGTACACTTTAGATAAGCCGCAGATTAGTATCGTCTTGTTTTTTATTTTTACTACCATTGTATCAAGGTTTTTAGGTTAACAATCCAATTGCTTTTAAAACATAATCTCTTAGTGGTAAGTGTCGATATGTGTATCTAATTGTCTTAATCTGTTGCTTTTTATTTGTGTTTTAAGATAGCATTTTAGGTATAATATATAAAAACTAATTTTCTGTGAACACTTGCTTTACGAGTCAATAAATTCGACAACCATTATAAAAGTTTTCTAATTTACAACAACCAATTGAATTTGAATAATTTTTATAGTTAATACCTTCTGTTCAAAAAGTACTCGGATTTTGTAAATAAAACACAAATTTAAATTTTATTCCAAATTTATTTTATCTTTTACAAAATATGTTCCTTCTGAAGCGATACACATATGCCAATGCTTAACCTAATCTTCCATACACTCTTCGTAGGCCCGTGAAGGTATGGCTTTTAGTTCCCTCAGCGAATGCTCTTTTACCGATTCAATCGATTCAAAATGCTTACCACGGAGGGCAATTTGAGTTTCGGGAAGAGGAAAAAGTCGCACGACGCCAGATCTGGCGAATATGGTGCCTGAGCGATGACAGTGGTACCATGTTTGGTCAAAAAATCGCGTACAACAAGAATTTTTCATAGTAAAAATCGCTAAATGCACTTGAGGTAGTCTTACATTAACAGCTACTGTGAACAAACTAATTGACAGATGGGCCTCAAATTTGTACCATATGTCAAGAAAGGGTGTACCAACATAACAAAAAAAAATAATTTTTGAAAAAGGTTTATTACTTAAGGAGTAGTTAACAAACAACAAAATCCGGATACTGTACCATGAGCAGAAGGTACATAATATAATTTTCAAAGTCAAAGTTCCATAACTCAAACTTGTATAACTTCAATTTTCTATAACTTGAACTAAATAGGGTGCAACAGAATTTATAGAGCAAATTACATACAATTACAAAAAAATTCTTTAACTCAAAGTCATCATAGCTCGAATCTTTCTTTTGCAAAATGGTACTTCAAGTTAAGGAAATTTGACTGTACTTCCATTCAAACCCATAGAAACCGTAGAGTGACTATATTTATTCGTCGGCCAGGTTGATTGTTGGTACAAGTATTTTGGAATGCAATTAATCCAACGAATCCTTTTTGTTTCAACGAAAAACATATTCTCTGAAATGTTAAGAATCGCTTGGAATCGCATAAACGCGATTTGCTAGTTAGAGTTTTTAATCAAACAATTGGTCACTAGTGTCGATAGATTACATACTAAACGCCCATTTATCTTAGCGTGCAAATTATAGCTGATTTGCGATGCACCGAACGTTTTAAAGATTTAATTATTTGTAAATAATTCTACTAAAATTTGTACGAAGGCAACCCTGCTAAATTGAAGTTTTCGATTGGTATTTCTGGA